TGGAAAATAGTTAAAAATTTCACGCACCAGCGCATGAAAGCTGAATTCGAAACCTTGGAGGGTGAAAATCTTTCCGTGATTCCCGAGTTAATAGATTAACCGCCCGAGTTAAAAGATTAACCGCCCGAATTAAAAGATTAACCGCCGAAATTCTCACGAGGCCGTAGGTGATACTCAAGAGCGCAGGGACGCTGAATTTGAATAGGTTGAGCATGGGCAGGGGTCAATACCCTAAAATTTCAGCTCCCTTGACCCCGTGGTTCCCGAGATACTAATTTTCTCGTAAAAACTTTCACTAGCCCGTAGGTGATACCCGAGAGCGCGAGAACGCTGAACTTGACTCGGCAGGGTTGATCGTGGGCAGGGGGTTATTACCCTAAAATTTCAGCCTCCTAGACTCCGTGATTCCTGAGATATTAATTTACCCGTAAAAAACTTTCACGGAACCGTACGTTTTACCCGCGGGCACGGGAAAGCTGAATTTAAATTTGCCGCGTCACCCGTTGGCGGGGAACACTATCCAAAATCTCAGCCGCCTAGCTTTTGTGGTTCCCGAGTTGAAAGTGCGGGACACAAACAGGAGACAACCCCGTGACAATATGGGTTTTGTAACGTTGTTACACAGCACAAAACGCATAATAAACGGCAAACACTGATTAAACGACCGGAACTCCGAAGAGAAGAAACTACCATAACTGGCTTACATGCGCAAGCATCCAATTAACATTGCTAACAATGTATGGCCATTTCTGGTGACTTTTATAAAAAAAAGTGTACCACGAGCACTAGGAAGACTAATACTGGCTACTACTAAAACTCGGCTCAGCTAGGCCAATGCCTGATGTCAACTTGCGATGACTAGGAGTCGGGTTGCGATTAGTGGAAGGGGTGGGAGGCGTATTGGTAGAGGGGCGGATGGGAAGGAGACGGAAAAAGGAGATAAGGGTGGGAAGGGGGTCTGTGCAAACCCCACAGAACTATCCCCTTCCCCTCGCCTTATAAACTCCGCCCGTTTGCAATTTCTAGTCCCAACC